TTTTTCCCATAAAGCTATGCCTTTGTGACAAAGTGAACTTTGGACTTGTGAAAGATTCAATCTGTTGCAATGAAATATCAGACCTGTCTAAAATAATAAAACAGACCTACATTATATCCTTAAACACTTTTTTCCTTTGACTAATTGTTTTGTCATTCAGTTTGTTTTCTTTCCCAAGAGTTTATTTCTTGGGCCTCTACTCTTTAATTTAGATTTTGGATTCCCTAAAATCACCGGCAACATTCTTGTGTCAATCCCCAGAACAAATTTCTGGAAAGCAAAGAGAGTTTCAGCGATTGATTGAACTTACAGACAGTTAAAATGGAGCTGAATGCGTGGTGTGGAGTTCACCCAGTTTATTGTAAATTCACCTATTCCCGCTGCTACAATGTTCAACTGTTGCTGAATGTCTGCTTTTTGAATTTAGTCTATGATTAATAAAGCCGTAATAATTCCAAATGTGATCCAAGGTGGTAACCTCTTCTGTTCCAGCTGATGCTTACACTCTTAAAAAGGATGCATCCATTCCTGTCTACGTTAGAACGGCACATGTATCGATTTTAAGTGTGTAAGAGTATTTAGAGCAGTGGTTTATTCTTCTGGAGCTTCTCTAAATAAGCAATTATTGCAACGGTAGTGCAGGTGTAAACTGTGGTTCCTCAGAGAGTTCAGAGCTGTTGTAATTTGACTGTCATATCTTAACTAATATATGGCCTTTTATGGTGTTGGCCTCTGATCACTCCCAGTATTTTCTCGGCCTGCCTCGCTCTGCACTACTCACAGTTCCAGCTCTCCCAGTAAAGTCAGAAGTCATGAGGAGGATGAGCCCACAGTTGTAGATGGTTATTCTCTGTCACTGAATTGTTTGTCTTTATGTAGAACATTAACAGAACAACCAACATATTATCGTTGCACTTTCTTCATTATTTGAGATAAACTCAAATTAACACCTGATATGATTCCTAATTCATCATACAGCCTTTGAGCAAGGCATTTACGGCTTCATAACGTCGCACTGCTACATAGCAGGCTCTCCCAGAACCTCATCATGTGAACCCAAAAGCTAAATCGTCTCTAAAACTCTCTGACCTCTGTGTTATAACTTCCTACTTTGGTTCTGGTCTTTCTCCCTCAGTAATGAGACTGGAACAAAAACCTGAAGGACCTTTGGGTCGACAGTTGTAATGGAAACTTTAACCTGTATTTCTGTGTAATCCAGAGAGTTCAGGCAGAAGAGGCTGTTTCTGTGTGGATCATATGAGGTGCAGCTGTATATTGGCCACTAGAGGGTGACACTGATATGTGAGATAAGATAATTGTAGGTCCTTATATTCAATGTTAACTGCAAATCAAATATCTCTAATATTATTATTATTATTATTATTATTATTATTACCAAACAGAACACGCTCAGTTTATGTTTGAAGATAATAATCAATTTAACCTGGTGTCAGGAAATCATTCTGAACTCAAACTGTACATTGGAAAAATGGAAAAAAAACGGTTTATTTTTAACTTTCATATGAAAGCACATATTGCACATTTCACATTTTACACATTACAACTAGAAATAACATTTACAAAACAAAGTATGCATTGGCATACACATTTCCCCTTCATACAAAGGAATATGGCTTTTAGTTTTACAAAACCTCGACAACGTGGTCTCACTGACCAGTTCTAAGAAGTATTACATCTTAAGGCACGAATGCGCTTTTTAAGGCCCATTTTGGACCAATGAGATCACAGTGTATATGGTATAAATCTCACTTATTTTCCACCTTTTCCACTTACTGTGGAGTGAAAACACCCAACAGAAAAGAAAAAAAAAACAAAAACTGATTTATAGTCCTTTTCCTATCAGAAAAATATTTTCCATTGGGAACTTCTTCACATTGTGTCATTGTGTTCAGTGCTACAAAGCTTGCAGGCACACAGTCCCACTCATCCCATCTTATTTCATGTTGTCTCCATTGTCTTGTATGTGTGTCCACTCGTTACTGGCAGCACAGCGGCGCCACATCCTCAGCTGGCGAGGGGAACAGCCGCATGGCCTGTCTGGAGGATTTGTTGTAGCCGTTGTGGAAAATCAAGGCCTTCTTCACAGTGAAGAAGGAGACTGTCTTGTCCCACACGTCGGAGCTGGACACCCCAGTGTTGAGTTGGCTCTCCAGTGCTGAGCGGAGCCTCACTGCTCTGTCTGTGCACTTCCTCTCCAAACTCATCATCTTACACATGCTGAGGAGAAAGAAATATCAAATTAATGTTGGATTCAAAGAAAAGGTTAGTTCACTTCACAAGAGTTAAACATTTTCTCCTTCACCACTAGTGGTATCAAGCCATGCAGACTCTTTAGTTTTTAAATACTGGGCAAATAAAACCTAAACTATCAGGGCCCCCTCACAAAACCAGTATACCAAAACATTCCTGTGACCCCAGAGTGACACTGAATGAGACACAAGTTTAAAGAAAAGAAATGAGCTGAGCTGAGATTTCTCCATTTGAGCTTACGTTGTGTGCTGATCCCTCATGGTGAATATGCAGTCAGATGGTGTCCACTCAGTCCGGGCCTGCGTCGGGTGCAAGAGGCGTTCAGGGTTATGATTTTACCCACTGAGATGCTCCTCCTTTATATACTTATGCCAACTTTCCCATCGATCTAATGTGATGCTGGTTCTCACAGTGTTTGGCCAATCACAAAGCAGTGTTATGATGACAATAGGATGTGAATGAATTAGTTGAATTCATGGGGTACAATGGCCCCAATCCAAACAAACAGGTGGGAGGGGCCCGTTGCTGGCCTCTTGTCTCTCAGCTGATGCGCCACAACGAAGGAGATATCCTCATTATTGTTATTATCGACTGGGAGTGATATGTGGTGGGAACATGGAGGGAAAATGTCTGCTGAGAACGTCCTGCATGGAAGAGAAGTCCATTTTACAACACTGTGGACAGATGTTAAGTGTAAAGCTGAATGACATTAGACATTAGACCTGAGCTTCCACTTTTTACTCCAAAAACCAGAGTAAAAGTAAAGGAAGTTGTGCCTTTAAAGTTTAGTAAAATGTAAAAATCATCCTAGCTATAGTATAAGTTATATGAGCTATAGTTGTGATATAATTTCTATATAGTTTCTCATATTGTTTTTATTTGTTATATTTGTATCCTTAATGTAAATCTGTTTTCCTGAATCCACTTCTTACAACTTTTATCTCATGCAACTCATGATTTTGAGCTATTTCATTGACAAACTTTGAAAACAAACTTTATCAAACTATCCACAAAGTTTCCCACCCTCCACACACACTCTCTCACACACACTCCCTATTCTTCTTCTTTAACTTTCTGTCTCTATTTCAGCCTCTCCAATTCTCACGGTGAGCGTCTCCCATGCTTGATTGGCTGACAATAGCGTCCGATCCGTCCAGATGGTGTGCCTGGAAGCCCTGTTGACAGCACTGTGTTCCTGGGTGTGTGTGTTGGGAGGGGGGTTGGTCACTCAATCTTTGTTCGATGGGGCACACTTCCTTTGTGCAGCCGGCCTCAGTGTCATTAACACTGAAGTGTGGGAAGCCTGGGACCACAGCGGCTCCCACGTTCCACACAGGCAGGAAGGGAGCGTGTGACTGAGACGTGGCCAGCGGCAAGCAGGTCAGCCAGCTGTGTGTGTGTGTGTG